GCCTGGGCGGGCCCTGCGCCCATCACTTGGGGGACGCGGAGAGCGCCGGGCTCCGCGAGCGGAGCGCAGACACACGCTCGCCGTCGGGGCACCCCCGGCCCCGCGCGGCGCCCTCCATCGCCCGCGTCCTGCTCCCCGGGCGCGTTGCCGGGCTCCCCAACTGCGCCGCAGCCCAAACTTCCCGCGGCGGCGGAGCGCAGCCCGGGTCGCGGCGCGGCAGAGGCGGCTCCGGACCTGCCCGGGCGGAGGATGCTGAGCGGGCTGGGAGCGCCGCGCCGAGTCGCTCGCAGACAGCGCCCGAAGTTTCCGAGCTCTCACGCCGCCCGGCTCGGGCTCCGCCGCCCGTGGGTCCCCCGCGGCCCCTCGGCTCCCGGGGTCCTCCCTCTCCCGCCCGGCCCAGCACCCTTAAAGGGGCCGCGCAGTGCTCGCCGAGCGTCGCTCGCCGCTCTCCAGGCGTCGGTCTGGCAAGTTCTGCTTGGTAGTATTCCCATCCACAAGTCAGGGGTGCCCGACTGCGCCCTCAGGTGAGAACCAAACTGCTCAGGAGCAGAAATCCAAGCTAAAGGGAATTTGTCTAGCGTCTCTCGCCACCCCTACACCTTTCTCCAAATGGAACCTCCCAGCCAAAGACTTAAAAATCCTCCCGGTCCCGTTTAACCTCTTCCTTACCGTTTCCAGAGATTGGAATTAACTCAAATAACTTCTCCGTCACACCCCCAACTCCCACCACCACCCCTCAAAAAAATTAAAAAAGAAAACAAAAGAGAAATTAAGGATAGAGCCATTAGGATAGGGATAGAGAGGACTATTGAGAAATATCAGTAGGTGGCCGCTGTATTGCAAAATTCCCTTTTTCCTGAAGTTGTTAAAGCTTCTGTAAATGAGTGTTCAACACCAGGACTCAGGTTGGACCACGGAGCCTTGTCACATTTTACAGGACAGACTCATCCAACTTCAGACTCTACATATTAGAAAGTTTAACCATCGGAAAGTAATCGAGGGAGAGCCGCGGTGTGAGGCTCAGAGGTTACAGCTTGCAGTTAGGGGAAGTCATTCAGCACTTCAGAACCATGGGGCAGGCCCCGGGATCTGAGGCTGCCAGTCAGGAGCCCTGTGGCGGTGCCAGGCCTGTTCGGCTTCTAGTAAGCCGGGACTGTGGAGATGCTTCCCAGCACTAAGGAAGGGTCCCAAGACAAAACAGACCTGACACATCTGATAAGCATGGGTTCATTCATTCCTACGCTCATTTCTCTTCCGTTCTACTGAATAAGGCACTTACGGAAAACACTTAACACGCTGTAGGTGCTCAGTTATATGGAAGATAGTGGTACTTACAGCTATTCTTTTTCTTAATAAATTACTACCTGCAAAGTTATGTATGATAGCTTCAAAATGATTATTGTCTAGCAGAATATAAAAGAAGCTTTTTGCCCCTGGAAAGAACAATTTCACAATGGATGGGGAGAGGTGGATTTAATCTTTTCTATATGCTGTATACTTCCTTTCTATATGTGATACACTTTTCTATTTTTGTAAGTGAGTTCATGGATTATCCAATGAAAATACAATTTTTAAATCATGTTATGTGTTCATTGTAGTTCCCGCAGGCACAGCCAGAGATCTTGTAGCAAAATTCTGCAGGAGGAAGCTCTGGTTAACAGTCCCTATCTTTGAAAGTGAAAGATAGTTTAATCCTAAGAAAGCTGCCTGAAAATTCAGTAAACAGGCAATAGATAAGAATTCAAAGACTCCAACCAGAGTCTTTTCAGCAATAAAAACAAGTATGTGCAGTAAATACTGAAACACATACACTGAGTTAGTCTTTGTGGAAGGATATTTAGTGAGAAAAATAGAATATAACTTTTTTCTTGGAAAAAGTGTGCTTTTAACATAAGCTCACTAGGTAATAGAAAATAAATAAAATTAAGAGAAGAGCAAGAGACAGAGGCAGAAAAACCCTTTAAATCCTTAAATCACTTAAATGCATTTTAAATAAAGGTTTTGAACTTACACTTAGTAAAGGACGTGTACTTTTCTTTATGTTTTTGTGGTGCAAAAGATTGAATCTGGGGTCTTACACATGCTGAGCACATGCCTGAGCACTGAGCTACACTCCCAGAACAAGGATGTATACTTCCACTTATCAAGTAGAGTATGTATAAGGCTCCTGCTTCATTGTTCCCACAGTGAATCTCTAGAAATTTGCTAAGATTTCTCACAACCTATTTTGCTAATCACCATTTAATAGAGTCCATCTCCATTTGCCTTTTATTTCTTCTCAGCCTCTCTAAGCAACACCGACCCAGCTCCTCTTGTCCAACCCTAAAGTTGGGATGACCAACGAGTGTGTGCAGTTAGTATCCTGCACAAAATAACTTTTGGCCAGGCCCCTGATGAGGGTGCTATTACCAATTCACTTACACTGCTCCTTGCTTTTTTTCCTACCTCATCCACAGGGCACTTTTGCCTGTGGATTATATGACTAAAATTGGTGTCTAAAGATAAGAACTGGTGTGCCAAAAGTATCGGACGAGTTACAGTCAGTATGCCTGACAATCTGCAGGAACTGCTTCATTTCACTCATGCATGTACAGTTCAACACTGAGTGAACAACATCTATGCCTAAATTGCTAACGGCTCAGGATACAAATATAATCTTAATCTCCAGTTTCTAACAGCTCGTACTGTGGAGAGCTCCACAAAGAATAGATTAGGCTCCAGAGTAGAATCTCTCTGTCCTATCAATGCTATTGAGGTAAAATGAAAACTCAAAACATTCTTGGAGATCTTTTTATAACAACCTGTTGCCTTTCCGCTTTTACTCTGAACGCCAAATTACTGAGAAGAATGCATGAAATGCTCAATGTGTCTGATATGAAAGCATGCACAAGTTTAAGTATTTACATGCGGCTGGGAGCCCTATGCCAGCCGGGTGCTCAGGCAGTTCCAGCACGTGCAATAGAATTTTGGCTCATTCCAAAACTGGTGGGAAGCAAAAGAGAATGGCAAAGAGAAAGTGCCTTGGTTTGCACACAGGAATGGCATTCTGGCCATTAAGATCAGAATGAGTGGTGCGGCCTCAGGTTTTGTAGAGAATTCTTAGTTCCTTTAGAGCCTGTGAAATGCACGAGCCCTAAAAGGTCCCCTTTAAAATATTGAGGAAACCTTGAAGTGACATATTTTACTAGCCCACAAATAGAGTCTTTTCACGACTTAACATTCTGGAGCAGAGTGAGCTCTTCAGTTGTTCTGATCTGATTTTATCTTTGATGGGGGAAGGGTAGTTGCAGGAACTCAGGAAATAGCATAAGGCTCCGGATCTCTGCAGGGATCTCAGATACCACTTACTCAGATCAAGAGAAGCAGTGTAGATTTCCTAAGGAAAATACCAACAAGAACATCTGTCTGTCTTTCCTTTGTAGCAAGCAGGCTTGGAATCAAACAGAGTCTGTGTTTTAAGTCCCCAAGTTTCAGCAGATTGGGAGAGATCTGGCAAGAAGTCCATGTCAAGGCTGTGCTGAATCCTTCTAGGCACCATCCTTCAGGGTATATCCACTACTTTAGCAATTTTTCCATCAAGTTGCTGAATAATCTGCACAATCCTTGGTGTAAAATGAATATTTTCATAGTTTTCCAAGTTTGGAAATGTAAATTTCATATCAGAAAGTAATTTAAAGAAAGCCTAACAAAAGGAGGGTAAATTCGCATTTGTCAGAGCATTTGCTATGTTTTAAGAAACCAGGTTATTCTAGTTTCTTTCATATACACACAAGGCACGCTGTAAATGTTGTTTTTGTTCACTTCTTGGTCCTTTGGAGTGGGTAATTATGTGTAACCAACCAGAAACTTTTGAGAGAAAGGAACCCATGAGCTATTCATCTTTTTTTCTATTTAAAACTTACATCATGGAACATTGACTGTGACACATGCCTATAATTCCAGTACTTTTGGTGGCTGAGGCAGGACAAAAGCTTGAGCCCAGCTTTGAAAATTTAGGGACCTAGTAAGACCCTGTCTCTAAGTAAGAAAAAAATGGAGAATCACTTAATGTAGCCACTGTCTTCAACACAGCACTTAGAAGGGAAGCATAGGGTAGGACCCCACTGGCCTCACCTAATCATACTCTGCACTGTAACTAAGGATCTCTGAGGCTTATTTAAAAATACAAACTATTTTTAAATAAAAATACAAACTATTTTTAAACTCAGATCCTGTAGAATTGCGATGTCTGTGCAGGGCTGTTAGGATGCCAGCATCGTGGAAACTTTACACTGTAGATCGCCATAAAACAAGGTGGTATAGTACTACACTCTTTGATAGAGCCTGCCCAAACTTAAGTAGGAGCAACAAAAGGTCACACTCCAATTTACACCTTTAATGTTAACAGATGGTTAATTTTTTAAGATAAGAGAACACAGGGAGCAGCATTAATTGGGGGAACCATTTGGGGCACTTTACAAACATTATCTGATCCTGTTCTGGCATGTGAAGTACTCTTATCCCCATCTAGAGAGGAGGATATGAAAGTAAACTATGAACTCAAAGTTCGTCAGCCCAGAAGCCATGGAGCTTATGTTTGAACACAGCTTATTTTGAACTAAAGGACATGGGTGTATCTTGGAGGGAAAAGTTTCATGGTAGGATATGCTCTGAAGACTTTGAGTTCATGTATTTAAGCATTCCCTGGTGCCTCTGATCTGTACGTAGGCATTGTGAGCCCTACAGAAGTGTATATTTGAGACATTTTTTTCTCTTCAATAAACTCTGTGATGGTGAACCTAGAGCGCATGAACCACAGGCCTGTCTGTATCACTGGAAACTCTAAAAGGGTTACTATCGGCTGAGGATAGGCATGCTATTCTTGTGGGT